CAGACCCCACTTGTGGGATTACACTGGGTTGTTGTTGTTGTTGTTGTTGTTGTTGTTGTATTTATGGTCATCAAAAGCATACGAGGTGTATCTCTCACGTCGACAAAAAGTTTCTCTCACGTCTGCTTCATGGTGTTAAACGACGAGATCCATTTTAAGACATTACATTTGATTATTAAGGGTATGTTTGAAAAGCCACCAATTAATTGAAATTGGTGTAATTACTATTGTAGTAATTATACAACCTAGTAATTATATAGTTGTGTAATTACGACGATACGTTTGTTTGTCATAGTGTAATTACTCGTTTACTGTTTGATTGCACAAGTATAATTACACAGTTAGACTAAAATTTAAATGAAGTAATTATCAAAACTTAAAAGTTAATATTTATGCCTATAAATTTTATGAGTATAAATGATAATATTTGGTATTTAAGATGTATATTTTTTCGTGAAAATACATTAATTAGTAATAATATATTTAAAACTAATATTGAAAAAATAATTTTTATATATATTTCAAATTAATAATATTTAGTTTAGATACTTACAAAAACTAAAAACATACATTTTGTAAGAATATCATGGAATTCTTGTTTGATAAAATAAATTAATATTTATAAATATAATGTCATAACATTATTCAAATATTTGAGAAAACTAATCTATCAATTCTAACTAAAAAATGAACAACATGCAATGTGAGTCAATACTACTAAAACAAGTAAATTGGAACCATGAATATAACACAATTTTAAAATCCAAAAAAAAAAAAAAAGTTTAACATATGTCAAATTCCAACATAATAATAGTAAGTTCCACTACAACTTAAGATTAGGAAACATAATAAGTTTATAACTACATCCAACAATGATATTCCGCTTTAATTGCATCACTCATTATATGTCAAGTTTGTTAATGACTCATTATTTCTAATATTAGGAGGTGTAGTTTCAAAAAATAGAATAACAAAATAAATAAATAAAAATATAAGCAATTACATGAAATGACAAGAAGTAAAGGTAGAGAAATAAATAATAAATAGTGTACAAAGAAAAATATATTTTAAAATTTCAAAAGAAAAATTAAAAGTAAAAATAAAATAAAAAAATAGAAATAAAAAGTTAAAAAGAAAATAAATTAAAATAAAAATAAAAATGAAAGAAACTAAAAGGCAACCTTGTAATTACACAGTGTAATTACCATCAATTCTCACCTCCCCTTGAGAATTGGAGAATGTAATTACACCCCTCCAATTACATCCAATTTCATGTTGACCAAGTAATTACTTGGCCAAACAAACATGCCAAACTATGTAATTACATCCAAATCCAATTCCTAGATGACTTTCCAAACATGCTCTTGTCTTTGTTTACCTAAAAATCGTCTCAAACTTCCCTAACATTCACCACAGATCAGAAATCGCGGTAAAGTACGATGCAATCAAATAGTACCACGAAGTTCACCACGAGGTTCTTTAAAATCTGTCTTAAAGATCCTATACCAATGTCTGAACCCCACCAATTCTCGTCACAGGACTTACATGGATCTTGTACTTGCTTGATTCTCAACCTGCTACGGGAGGTCAAGCTATGAGCCATTAGCTACTGAGACAAGGCTTCTTGTCTTCTGATTGTAGTTGCATCCCCGACTAACTATACATATTCTTGATGGACGAATATACTTACCCTACTAGCTCGATGAATACAATAAATAAGATGAAAGAAACCTCACAACAAAGAAAAACACAAGCTTCGCCTGCAATAGAAGGAAGCCTGCCATGAGTTGCACAAAGCAGCGACATGGGTGTGGAGATGTTTGGAACGCACTCCCTTTTTCCAGGCTCATGGTACTGTATTATAAGAAAAGATTTCTTCGAAAAAATAGTAACAGAAGTGGCCAGACTTTAGTCTCCTTACACTATTCCCAGTTTTGAAATTTGTCTATAACTTGATGTATTTCCCAATACCATGATTTTTGCTAGTAATTCAGAGTATTCAAAAAGAAAAATTACATAGCTCAAACCCTCCAAGGGAAAATAAAAAATGTGAGAACAGATGGTTGGGCATTGCATTCACCATCCAACAAAGTGGAAAAAAGAGATTACATACAATTGCAGGATGGCTTAAGAGATAAGAGCAGAATTAATTCGGCAACTTTATTGCAACTTAATCTAGAGTTTCATCGCTATTGGCTGGTTTTGTTCCCAAAGCAATATAATTAACACTGATGTCATCAGATAAAAACCAACGACCTGTCAAAGGGTTGTATACAAATCCAGCCATCTCTTGCACCTAACAAATGCACAAGATTACCATTCCGAGTGGCGCAAAAACACAGAAATGGGGTTGATAATGATTTAGCTGTAAACAGAAAGGCAGGTAGTCCACTTACAGTTATAGAAGCACGTTGAAGAATGAGGACTAGTTCTTCTGGGGTTACAAAGCTTGACCATTGATGCGTCCCTTTAGGAAGCTGCAAAAGTCCATTTAGAACTATTAGAATATGTTTAGTTAAGCTGACAGCAATATGATCAATGTACAACCATTATGTTCTTGGAATGGTAAAATCAATCTAAACTCTTCCTCTCTTCTAACTCTATGAAAGCAAATGCAAGAAGGCGACAAACAAACACAGACATGGGAAGCAGGGCTGATACTCGAGGAACACCAACTTTCCATATTTCCTTGCTACAGATAATCAGCAGAAATTTTCCGTTTAACATGGCAACTCTTGTGCACAGAAAACGATAGTATATATCAGCAAGATGAATCCTAGCAAATTCAATAGCAGAACGTAATTGGCATACCTTGAAGCATAATCATCTTTAAATCCAGGAGATAACGCGCTAAACAGAATTGTTTCCATTTACACGTATGATAAAGCAAGAACATTAACATGATCCGCATAAATTGAAAGTTCAATTTAAGCTAAAAGAAGAAATACATAGAGAACTATCCACAAACACCTTTCCTTTAACTGGCTCCATAGTTTTAAAGTGCACCAGCAATCCTCCATACACAAATATCATATATGCATAGCTATGGTTCATTTTGGGATCATTTAAGTTTTGCAAGAAATCAATCCATCTGAGTAGACATAAACCAACAATGACCAGAATTTAGTAGGAATTACTAAATATATGTACCCAATGCAGGAGATACTCTGCTGCAACAATCGTTGTTGCATATGCTCTCATTGAACGATTAATTGTGGATATAACAGTAGCGCCACCAGGGATGGTCAATGCTGATAGTGACTTGCAGAATCCAGCAGGATCTGCTACATGCTCAATCACCTACGCAAAGACGAAAATAAGATTCACATATTAGTATAGATCGGATCAAAAGTTGGGAACTCAGAACAGGAGAAGTTTTGACCCGAATGTTGCATTTTCACTTCAGCATTCAGACTTCCTAGCTCATGTTCATTATGTCCATCGCTTTGTAACATGTCATTTACATTCAACCATTTAAGAGGTTACTTATACACTACTCCAGTATATGCTTGTTTATCGGCTTAAATAAAAATCAAAATAACCAAACCCAACTATAAAAATGCAGAATAAAAAGATAATGCAAATGGACCTTTAAAAAGAAAAAAACAAGGAGTTGAAATCACCTTAAACTAGGCCCAAATATTCTCTTCCCACACCCGCATGCTTGCCTACTCGTCCCGGCCTATTTGTACCCCGCTACAATCTCTTCCCTTATAAAAGAAAAAAGGGCCCCTCGGCCAATCGTCACTCAACAGCTCGAAAGCGGATCAGTACAAAACCATGTGATTTGTAATTGTTTACGCACTGCCCCTTAGGCCTAGGGCTTCGTCGTACCCTACTTACTCCTCTTTCACTTTCATTGGCTTCTACTTGTCTTTTTTTTATTGGCTTATTTATAAAATGGTATCAGCATTTGAGACGACTCTCCCCGGCCAATCCTCAGTCGTCCGTCCTTGCTTAGAACCACTATCTCTTGATTGATCTGTTTTTTTTCTACCTTTACAGCTCGCTTTGTAAGTTCACTAGCAATACACCAATACAACACTAGCTATAGCAGTAACTAGTACAATGAGTCAGGAGTCGGGTGAATTCAATAATAGACGCCTGTTGGCATTCCAACCTTCCTTCTCCTTTCAGGGAGAGCTAATGCGGGTATTTTGGTTTGTAGGTAATAAAACCTACTATTCCGCTATGAGGGAAAGGAGTGAAAAACTATGTGAAGTCAAAGAGGAGTTAAGAAAAAGTCTTGTTTATTAACATTTAATAATAATGAAAGTAGTTATTTTTTATTTTTTAATTCACATTTGATTTTAATTCAAAATTACAATTATATCCTANGCCTGTCTCTGTAAGGTGAGAGTGGAATTTCTCCTTTATTTTGTCCTTTCCATTCACTCGGATTTCTTCCGTTTCATCGATTTTGTCCGGATCCCACCTTTCTTCCGAAAAAAGGGAAGGAGTCGGACGACTCTTCAATAACCCAGGGTGATCCAACCCCTTCGATGCTTTTTTTCGATGTATACCCCATCTATCTTTCGGAAGTGGAAGAAAGGGTACTCTAATTTGAATGCATAGTAGGGCCTAGAACGCTAAAAGGTGGGGGAACTAGAGTTGTCACGATAGAAAAGATAAATAAATAAATGACTATAAGGAACCAACGACTCTCTCTTCTTAAACAACCTATATCCTCCACACTTAATCAGCATTTGATAGATTATCCAACCCCGAGCAATCTTAGTTATTGGTGGGGGTTCGGTTCGTTAGCTGGTATTTGTTTAGTCATTCAGATAGTGACTGGCGTTTTTTTAGCTATGCATTACACACCTCGTGTGGATCTAGCTTTCAACAGCGTAGAACACATTATGAGAGATGTTGAAGGGGGTTGGTTGCTCCATTATATGCATGCTAATGGGGCAAGTATGTTTTTCATTGTGGTTCACCTTCATATTTTTCGTGGTCTATATCATGCCAGTTATAGCAGTCCTAGGGAATTTGTTCGGTGTCTCGGAGTTGTAATCTTCCTATTAATGATTGTGACAGCTTTTATAGGATATGTACTACCTTGGGGTCAGATGAGCTTTTGGGGAGCTACAGTAATTACAAGCTTAGCTAGCGTCATACCTGTAGTAGGAGATACCATAGTGACTTGGCTTTGGGGTGGGTTCTCCGTGGACAATGTCACCTTAAATCGTTTTTTTAGTCTTCATCATTTACTCCCCTTTATTTTAGTAGGAGCCAGTCTTTTTCATCTGGCCGCATTGCATCAATATGGATCCAATAATCCATTGGGTGTACATTCAGAGATGGATAAAATTGCTTCAAACCCTTATTTTTATGTAAAGGATCTAGTAGGTTGGGTAGCTTTTGCTATCTATTTTTCCATTTGGATTTTTTATGCTCCTAATGTTTTGGGGCATCCCGACACTTATATACTTGCTAATCCGATGTCTGCCCCGTCTCATATTGTGCCAGAATGGTATTTCCTACNACCGTCCCTAACGAGCGATCGGCTCATGTTTGAGCATGATGAATCACTTCGTGCCGACCTGTTGCCAATCCACTTTCCGGCCTCATATGAGAATGGAAAACTGGAGCATTTTTTCCATCGGTGGATGAAGAATCGCGAACATAATAATTTCTGGTTGACCATGTTCCCAGAAAAAAGATACTTTCGAGAAAGGACGAGCACGACTGAAGTGACTATACATACAAATCTATTTATGGATCTATATGCTTCGATTGGAACTGGAAGTTCCAGAACAGGTGGCTGGTATACCACAATAATAAAACTTCCTTTTATTTTTTTTATTCGGATTGGATTTATGTTGGCTTCGTTGGGAGGCTCGCGTAGTTTGTTAAGTCAGCTCCAAAAGGATAAGTTGCGTTGGAATTGATAAAGTTTCGTGGAGTTCATAATTGCATAAAAGGAGTCAAAGTAGTGGCTGCGGCGCGTTGAGGCACTTCT